GTCGGGGAGCCCTATAGATTTGGTGCAGTGGTCAGTGTGCCCAGGTAGATTTGAATATGGGGGTAGGAAGAGATGGCAGAGCAGGCATGATGGATAATCTCAGTTGTCAATGTGTAAACCTGGGGGTTAGGGAGTTGCTTCCATCAAGAACAGATCTGTGGGGAAATTTCTGATTGTCGATGAATGTAGAAGGGCCCAGAGCACTGTGTGCAGCACCATCCCTAGGCAGATGAGCTTGGGCTATATAAGGAAGGCAGTTGAGCACGGGGCTGGGAGCGAGCTCATGAACAGTGCCCGGTGCCCCTACCCCCAGGTTTTCTGGTTCAGTTCCTGCCCTGCAGTCTCTCAGTGATAAACCATTTCCCGGAAGCATAAGATTTCCCCTAAGTTGCTTTTGACCATGGTGTGCATCACAGCAACAGAACAGTAAAGTAAAATCACATGCATGCAGTCTGGGGTGAGGAGGAGCGGGGCTCCAGAATAGACCCTACATTCCCACTGATGTGGTGCCAGCACACGGAAACTTCATGCTTACAGTGAAAGACACAGCACCATAAAACGATGAATTTGGACAAGCAAAGGCTGGGGTCTGAAAGGGAATCAGGGTGGCCAAGAAATCTAAGAACTGATATTCCTGCACAGAGCAGCTCCCCCGCCCCCAGCCTAAGAAAGGCTGATGCTTGGGAAAGTCTTGGGAAAGCCTTGACCTTGAGGTGAGGCTAGGCCGGCAGCCTCACCCTGGAATCACTGAGAACTGGCAGATGGAAGGCTTCACCAACATGGCTCCCACAGCAAGCACCAGAAGCACCTAGATGTCTGGCCATGAAGAAATGCTACCTCTGCTGTGACCCATACCACACTGGCTCAGGAGGGTGAATAATCTCTAGCTGTATTATTAACAAGCACAGACTGCTGATGCTGACCCACAGTAAAATGTCCATCACTGAAAAGCTTAGGGAACTCAGCTCACAGAAAGGGGAAAACCTACAAAACAACATGCTCCAACCACGTACATAGGTATACTAGAAGCAAAAGAAAGTCAGGGTGGGTAGTGAACCCCAAACCTGGAGAGGCACCAAAGCAGAAAGAGGGAGCGGAGAACCTCAGGAATCCAGAAGAGCCACATAGGACTGTCAATACTTTTCAGGCCATTAATACATACTATGTGTATTTTTCTTGCGTGTGTGGTCTTATTTTGACTTACAAATAAAAAAAAAACTAGCAAACAGTGAAGATGAACATGAATGATCAGTTGGAATAAGGTTCAAATCTCCACACATGGAAAGCTTGTGCCCCTACATGCCGAGCGTAGCCAAAGGAGCACCATTTCCCTAAGCATGTTCCTCAGAACACTGACCATGATGGGTGTGCCAGCCAGCCTTCCATCACTATGACAACACCCCTGAGAGAGCTAGATGTGGTGGCACACACCTATAATCCTGACACTTGGGAGACGGAGGCAGGAGGATCCTATCCAGAGCTGGATGCCAGTCTGGGACACAGGCAGAAAAAACAGGTACAGGAGGACAGCTGTCAAGCTGTCAACACTCTGCTGACACCCGAAAGGATAAAGGAGGGGTAGGATCAGGGGGCAGAAAGGATTTGATGTTTTATATCCATTTACTACGGTATTCTTACTCATTAAAAAGTGTGTATTACTGATCGATATTTTAATTAGGGGGGGAATTTTCTTTTCATGTGAAAAGAAGTGAATATAAGAAGCTGGGAAGCATCATTGCATGAGGCAGGAAGTCAGTAAACAAGCAAGAGAGACACTGCCCATCCTCTGTGGTGAAGAAAGGAAAACAGGATGGGATGAAATGTTGACCAAACACGCCAACTTTCTAAGCACCTCTAAGTCCTTGAGGAAAAAGCCTCTATCATGGAAAGGCATAAGTCTGAATTTGGTAAATTCATCCTTCATTGGAGAAAAGTCTGAAGAAGTATTTAGGAGATTCCTAAAGGAGACAACTGCTTTTGAATTGATAAGCTCTGAGGAACGACAGAGGCTCAACCCTTGTAGGTGACTGGAAAGCTGAGGAGCTGCTGAGGGAAAGGAGGTGAGGCCTGGAGTGGGAAGCATGGTCCTCCAGAGTAGCCAGCTGCAGCTGGGATCAAAGGCTGCTGATGTCAAGGGAGACATGCTTTCAAAACCCGTAGGTGTTCTACCACCAGACTGTATGTTCACCCAAGCACATACAAACTAACGTGTAAAAATCGAAGGCAACTGCATGGCGGTTTGGTATTGGTTTGCTTCTAAATATTTCCTTTCTTTTTTCTTTTCTTTTTTTGGTTTGAGAGAGACGTGACTCTTGAAATATTTTAACATTCTTTACATTACTGAATTCTATCTCACAGACAGCTCTAAGAAATCCATGAGACAGAATGAAGAGTTTCACTTCCCTGAGAAAATTACTCTCAGATTCTTTGGAAAACATACACACACACACACACACACAATGTGCACAAACAACAAACTTGTATAAGCACTTACAATAGCTAGCTTTAAAAGCCAAGTGAGATAAAGCTGAACCACAATTACAAATACAGGCTTTGAGTAGCGTGAAAATACAGATGCCTTGATGTGTACAATGTGGTCACATCTTGATCCCCCCACCACAAAGATAGCATAAACTGACATAAATTCCCTACATGCAGCATCCTAACACCATGCTTAGTCATATAGTGCAGAGTACAGAGATACTTCCTTGGGGAGTAAGGGACTTTCTGAAAACTGGGCTTGTTACAAGAAAAGACAGCCATATGTTTATACTTTGGGCAATGTCCAAAATTCAAAAATTCAGGTCTAGCTTCTACGGAATTGCGTATGAGTTTCCCAACGTCGAAATGGCTAGCCTACCATAGCTGGCGGATAGGTGCAGACTCCACCAGGAACATTCCTTTTACGCAGAAAGAAAACAGGGTTAGACAAAGGGCACTTAACTTTTATTTACAGACTCTAATAGCAGAAGTGACACTGGACGGAAGAGGAGCCCCTGTGTCAGGACACAGACCATGCGGTACAGACAGGAATAGGCTTCCCATACAGTGAGGGGAAGACGGTGTGAGGAAAAATGAGAGTCTGCATGCATTCAGTGGACCTCAGGAAGTATTCCAGGGAGGGTGCAGGCACCCATCTGGGGACAGATGGACAGCGGGAGGGCCTACCCCACTGCTTTTCCTTTTTTTTCCCCAAATGAGCCCATTCCTGTCATTGTGTTTTTAAAAGAAAATTACGGTATCAGGATTTTTCTTATTTGACCAATTATCTAATCTATAATTTCTACTATAGAAAAATCAATGCCTTCAAAATTCAATACTATTAAAGGCTGCTAAATGTCAGAGACAAATTTGACAAGAATTAAAAGCCCAAAGACTGTCTATTTTCTCTCAGCGGTATCTAGAGCTCAGAGTTAGAAACTTAAGTCTAATCCCCAAATTATCAAACTTGGTGATACTGTCAGTTAGAGAAAAAAACAAGGTGCCTGGCAGGACTACCAAGGCCAGTTAAATGCCCGGAGAGGAGAATTCCCTCCAGATGCCCGAGGGTTTGATACCCCAAACCCTAGAACTTTCTTTTGGGAAGTACTTAGGGGAGTGTTATACAGAGACAAAAGACACAAACGCCATCCACCTACCAAGACACCCTTGGCTTCCCCGCCCTTTCCACAGTCCAGGCCTCCCCAGGCCACCCTTAAAGGGCAGAGAACTGGCCGCTGGCATGTTGTTAGAGGTCTGCCCTTCCAGCTAATGCCTGCAAATCAGCAATACTGTAACTCACACTCACCGCGAAGAGGGTACATGTCCAGTGCAGTGTCCTAGAGAAAAATAAGCCAATGAAAAGGCTGGCGTGGCGGGTCAGCAGGTAAAAGCACTTAACCTGACTATCTGAGATCAGTCCTCTCAGCACCCACCTAATGGAAGGTAAGAAAAGGTCCAAAAACTGTCCTCTGGCCCCCACCCACATGCTGTGGCACCTGCATGCCCCTCTTCCATAAATTTAAAAAAATCAAATGATGGATTAAAAGAAAATAAGGCAAAAATCAAATGGATGATATAACATTCTTAAGTCATTAGGTCACTTGTCACATATTCAGAGACGAGTATCCCAAGCTTTAATTGTATTTTAAAGAAATTAGTAATACCTAGAGAGGGAATTTGCACTAGGCAGGAAATTTCAGGAGGCTGTATGATCTTGGGAGGTGAGGAGAGGAAGAGAGAGAAAGGATGAGATGGGGGAAGAATGAACATTCAGAGTCATCCTACTCAAACTTCTACCAGTCAAGGCATCAGCCAATAGGGGACAACTAAGGACTCGATGTGGCCTCAGGACCATGGTCATGGCCGATGGCAACCAAGAAGCAGTTTAGATGCAGAGGAAAGGCCAGACAGGAGAACTGAAAATCCATAAATCAGAAGCTACAGGAGAAAGAAACTTCCCTGGCCAGCTCCCTACAGAGAGACAAGCCTTGGTTCTCTGGGAATTACCTCCTGACATTCAGAGGGAGAACCCCCTTATGACTCCACTGTCATCAAACTGCAACCAGAACTACATTTTTAAGAGAAAGTCTCAGTCATCAGTCCCTTTACAGCCCCTTAATGCCGCATGTCACACGCTAGCCTCTCCAAGACTTGAGTGGGAGTCATTTGCAGAGCCAAGCAGGGGCCATTCTTTCCAAGCTGAGCACAGGGGCCACCTTTCATGGCACAAATGACGCCTATGGCTGGTGCTGATGGCAGCTGAATGAGGTCTTTATAGGAGTTTCCATAGGTAATGGCACAATAACCACCAAATTTAAGACTACATAAAAATTTTCATTCTCTCAGCAAGGAGACCAAGAAACTGAGAGAAGAAACCTTTTCCTTTTTTTTCCCCTGATTGAAAAAAAAAAAAAAAACAAGACAGAGAGACTGGCAGTGAATCATAATGGTGCAGAGTGTCAATAGAGAGAGGTTTATAACCAATTCTAGTGACACAACTGTGTTCGGGGTTTCCCTAGGCAACGCTTAGCATCCTCGGAGGATCAGAAGGACAAGAACTGCAGGCTGTGGCAGGTCTGTCAAGGTGAGTGAAAACTAAAGAAAGGGTCACAGAGGCTCTTCACTGAATTTGCAAGTTCAAGGGGTCTACACATCTAGGTGGGGTGCTACTGGAAGTTAGTGTGCACACACTTGGGAATCGCCCCCCAAATCCCTGGGAGGCTTGTGCTCTTCACATAAATTCAACCGCATCTTTGTGGGAAATGCTTATTTTTACAGCTTCATGATGCCAATCACTTTTGTATTTTTATTCCTTATCTACTTTTCCAATCCATCATTTAAAAATTGGAGAGGCAAGGGAAAAATTGATGATGCTCCCACTCTTGTAGCACCCATCTCCTGGATGGTACCATGACACCATGGCTCAGCATTTTGATTCTGATAATAGAAGACAGATGGACCTTAACCCTCATGCGTACGTCCTGGAATCACCAGGCAAGGACAGGTACATATTCTGCTCTCGGTTTACATGCTCTTAGATTCTTCCACCCAGCCCCAGCCCTCGGTTCAGTCTTCATTCTTGAAAGAGACTGTCCATTGTACAATGCCCCCAGACTTTGCTCTCTGTGCTCCAACATGCCCCCTCCCTCCCCGCACACTTGGATTTTCACTCAAGAACCCCAAAGGCAAGCTCAGTCTCTAGCCTATACAAGTTAAGCCTTCAGAGTCATCCTTGGAAATCTCTGTGCAAGGACCACGAAACCTGCTCTTAAAGGGACCACTCACTGTCTGAAAGAGGAAAAATACCAAAGAATAGTCCTGGGAATCCAAACAGATTTTAGATGAGATAAACGGCAAGCGCTTGGGTTAGACACACTTGGGAAAATGCAGCGTAGGGAGGTAAGTCCTCACAGCCAGGTAAGCAGGAAGCCTTCACCTGAGACAGTCTGTGTTGGCAACCCCTCAGTACGTCAGTGCTCTACAGAGAGTGGGCTGACTTTAATGTATGGTGAAGTTGAATAGAATTAACGGTAGCAACACAGAAATACTGCCATATATATTAAGTTTATTTCATATCCCTAGGGGACACTACAAAGCACTAACAGATGACAGAGTGTGGAAAAATTCCAAAGTGGGGTGGAAACACTCCAAGTTGCCTGGGGAAGTCACAGAGCACCATGTCACATTGGGGGCATGTTTTGAAATATATTGGTTGGGCAGACATCTCAGTGGGTAAAAGCACTTGGTGAACAACTGGAAGGATCTGAGTGTGAAGCTCCAGAACCCACATAAAGTCAGGCACTGCAACCTACAGTTATAATTCCAATCCTTGATGGGGAAGAGGAAAGATGGAGACAGGAGGAGCCACAGAGTGGGCTGCAACCCTAGTGTACATAACAAAAACAACACAACAACAACAGCAACAACAAACAAGGCAGAAGGTTAGGACTGACACCCAATGCTATTCTATGGTCTCTACGTTCCAGTTGTGGCAAAGGAATACCTACATTTATAAATGAACACACACACACACTCACGTGCATGCACACAAACTAATACAAGGTCCGGGGATTGCAGCCTCCTGGAAAAACACTCATGTCTGTACTATTAAACATAACATTAAAAAGCACATTTGATTGATTATTGATCCTACTCTCGTGAAGAATAGGAAGCTTGTGCTTAATAATTTTTCATATGGTTACAAGAAACAATTATAGAAACTTAACTATTTATCTCTATTGTTTAGAAACGATCAACACAAAAAAATCCATATATCATATCCATCATGATAATAGCTCCCATATTAAAAGCCTACAGCCAAGACAGTACATTTGACTGTGTGAAACATTTCAACAAATCAGCCAGAGAAAAGCCAATATTAACAGTATTGTCTAGTGTTCTGGTGGAGTAAACACCCTCAGCACACACAGATCTCCTTAAAGGGATGGCTGTACTTCGTCTCTAAGAGGCATACCATTTACCAAGCAGAAAAGCACAACTCTGCTGGTTCTCACTGAAAAAGATTTCAGAGGCTGGACAAATAGCCCAGTAGTTAGGAGTGCCTACTGCTCTTTCAGAAGACCAGGGTTCAGATCCCAGCACCCACAGCAGGCAGCTCTAAGGGATCTGATGGCCTCTTTTGGCCCCCCGAGAGTACCTGCAGGGACATGTCATAAAGACTTGCAGAAGTGCTCCCTCCCTTCCTCCCTCTCTCTCTCCCTCCCTCCCTCCCTCCCTTCCTCTTTCCTTCCCTCTCTCTCCCTCTCTCAGGCACACACAAAATAAATATTTCAAAAAAATCCCCCCTTTTGTAGTTGTTACTTTGTTTTGTTTTACCAAAAAACCTGAGTTTTGAGGTACGAAAATTACCCAAATACTAACAGATGAACATCTCCATGAACACACACACACACACACACATCTGACATCAGAAACAATCCTTGACAGAATACACTGTTTTACTACCCAAATACCCAATGAATTGGATTTAGCCTAGAATGCAATGCAATGAGAAGCGAACGAGGGAAAATGCCAAATCCTTTAAATCTTTCTTAAAATTGGGGCCCCATACAGGTATCAGAAATGGATCAAACAACTCATGCTACAAATTGGGCTGGGAGCTCAAAAAGTGTGTGTCTATGCACTAAGTCTGGCCTCTTTTTCTGGTTCTGCAGACATTTTATAAAAGATTCTCTTCTCTCCCCTCACCCCCGTGCATGCCTACATGCACACCCTGCACAAATCTTTTCAGGTGCTCCATGGAGGTCAGAAGTGGATGCTGGATCCCTTGGAGCTGGAGTTACTGATGGCTGTAAATTGCCCAGTGTGAGTGCTGGGAACCTATCCTGGGCCTTCTGCAAGAGCAGCAAGCACTCTTAATCAACGAGCCCTCACACCAGCCCCATAAAGAAAGTTTTATTGGAATTCAAACACTACTCACCTTTTTTTAAAAAAAAAAATATTTTCTTTCTTTCTTTTATTCTTTTGAGACAATCTCTCTGTATATCCCTGGCTTTCTTGAAGCTCACTATGTAAACCAGGCTCACTTGGAACTCAGAGATTTACCTATCTCCTGAGTTCTGGGATTAAAGGCATATGCCACCATGTTTTGTTTTTAAAATGTGTTTTCTATAACTGTTCTGCTTCGTCAGCAGAGACAGGTTTTCATAACAGAGATGCGATGGCCCAGAAAGTCTTAGGATATTCTAATTAATGTTTAAGGAAAAGTTTGCGACACCTTTTACAAAGGATTCTTTTGAGCACTCCTTAGGGAATGCTCATACTCATCTCAAAATATATGAGAAATGACCAAGTCTTTAATATGTGCAAGAATGCCAGATGGTCTCTTTCCCTGGGGGAAAATCACAGGATTTTCCAGTCTTCTGAAAGGGCCACAGGTTCATTAGGGCCCATCCATGTTCATCTGGCAGACCAGGACAGCAAACATGACCATGCCTGGCTACAAAGTGAATGGCTTTATCCGATATTTCTATAGATGATTCTGAGTCCTTTCTGCTCCCTGGGAAGAGTTTCTATGTAAGATTCTTGACTTTTTCCTTGTGCACTGACACACCTGAGCTTGCTCTCCAGCTAGCACCTGGTGCTGGTAACCTTTAACCTAGCTTCATAAAGAAGGCGGACTAACGGGCTGGCCTCAGGGATTACCAAAGAACAGAGTGGCATATATAGGAATAGCATAAGGAAGACTGGGGGATAAGGAAGGTGTCGCTCTTATTCCCCCAGACAAGGTCCAGACATTGCTAACAACGAATGAGAGGAGGAGCGACGCCTCACAAACTGGCCTATACGTCTGAGAATGGAACCTTCGACTTCCAAACTTGCAAATTTATCCAAAAGACATCACTAAGTCTACTAGGTACCATGTATTAACAATCTCCAACTTTGCAAAACACTGGAAAGCGGTGCAGACAAGGAATCTTCCTAGTGCTAAGCAACCTGTTCTTCAGTTTTCAGGCCCCATTAACAGTGCCTGGCCCAGCAGACTGCTGGGGAACAAGGCTCTCTCTCTCTCTCTCTCTCTCTCTCTCTCTCTCTCTCTCTGCATGCCTGGAGGAGAAAGAGTACTTCCTCTAGGAGACATATGTTCTACCAGGTATAGCCAGTCTTTCCACACTGGGAAACCAGAGTGCTGTTACAAAGTTCATATTCGTAAACGGCACAATAGTATTGTCTTTAAACCTTACACTATTTAAAGTATGTTTACACTTTGGTGTTGAGCAGCATTGATGGTTATCCTCAGCTAAAAGCTGTTCTGCTCGGCACTCAGGCTGGATACATTTGGCCAACCTCTGCCACTCGCTCCACAAGATGAGGCGCTGAACCAGCACACAGCGCAGCCAAGCTCAGCTCCCATCTGCTCACCGGAGATCCTTATTAGCTGTGCTCTACAATATCAAACCGAATGGAAGCAGTTTGCCTATAGCAGGGATAGGGGAGCATGGAAGCCAGAAGCTTGCATCCTAGAGCTTAGCCAGGCAGCTGGAGCACTGTTCTTCTAGCCATACTGGTGTCAGCAGCAGAGAAAGTTCCAGAACCCCAAAACTCTTCATTAACACCCAGAGACCAAAAAGGAAAGAGGCAGTAACATGAATCCGCAAGTGAAGGAGCTGGCTTCTTCACTATTTCCACGGTGTGAATGAGTCAGAAGTCTTATTTTAAGGGATTTGGAAGCATCGCCAACAATTTCATGTGACAATATTTACTCCACTGGGAAGGAGAGGGGAAGGTGTCATTAAAGTTAATTATTTCATTTTCGTACTTGGATGCAGGGAAACAAAATAAATTTCAATAGAACTTCAGGGCCTAACATTATAGCCCAAGATATATAATGAAAGAGTGAGTTTATGTTTTCTCCTGCTCATCAAGTAGAACCAGATAATGCATATTCAAATGAGGAGAGCCCTGAGCTCAGGACTGCCCAGAAGATCTCATCACTTATAAACATGGCGAGGTGAGGGAGCCCCCAGTGGCCACTGAGAAGAACAACATCCATTTCAGCCTCCTGCCTCGTCCCTCTCTGCTTCCTCGTTTATTTATAAACTGCTTAGCCTTAAGAAATTATTTTCAGTGGCCAATAACTTCTAAAACCAAACTTAGGAATTCATACTGAAAACACTCTCAGAATGAATTTGGATTTCCTGCTATCCTTACAGTGAACAAGCGGCTGTATATAAATGTAGACACACACACACATGCACACACACACACCCCTATATACATGGGTATATCATACACTATAAAGTACACTGACTTTCAGATTTCTTTGTTTAATCTAGGCAAACACATAGCCAATGGGTGCCAAAAGACAAGGCCTCTATTCCTTCCCTCCCTCCCTCCCTCCCTCCCTCCCTCCCTCCCTCCCTCCCTCCTTCCTGGTGTATGAGGGTTTGGCAGATCCCATTGCAATTTCCTTGCAGCAAAGGGCTGTGAGAGCTGCGACACAGGGGTTCAGAATCATAGTCTACCTATTCACGCTCTAAATTATTGACACTCGCTATTAACAAATAAAGAATGGTAGGCGCCATTTACGAACACATTCCCATGCTGTTGTTTGAATCCTGGGAGTGAAGCTGAACATAAAATGTGTTCATAGAAACGTTTGGTGGGCACTTTAGATTAAAGGCACACGGGAGCCAGCAGAGGAGCACCGAGAAGTGAGGTCTAGACACATGCTCCTTGGAGTGTGACACGCCCACAGCTCCCACAACCTGGATTAGCTGAAGGGAGACATCCCTGGTCCACAGTGCAGCGGGATGGTAGTCAAGACCTGCTCACCTAATCCCCAAGAGTTCATAACAATTCAAAAAAAATGTTAATAAAGAAAATGGAACGAAAAATCTGTGTGTGGCCTAAAAATCTGCGTGTGTGGCCTTATAGATCACCAAATATAAATAAATATTTACAAAAACATTCGTACCGTTCCGATGTTGACTTTGGCACTTAAAAACAAAAGCCTTGTCTTCCCTCACTCGGGGAGCCACACTCCTTAGTAAACACAACATCCAAAGTCAGGTAATCAATTCCTAGACCCAAATTAGCAAAATAATTTACTACATTGAGTATAAAAATGTCAAGGGTGGGTAATTAGAATTATATGCACAGCAAGCTTCTGGAGGAGAAGGAGGAGGAAGAGGAGGAGCAGGAGAAAGCAGAGCGGCAGGAGGAGGTGCTGCTCAAATTAGCTGGGCTCAGGGATGAAAGCAGGCAGGGATTCGGGATCATCAGTAAAGGCCATGATAACAGGACTTTATTACATGTGTCACGGAAATTATTTTTAAGAAAAACTCTGTGGTGTGGACAGAGTATGTATGATGTGATGGATCATTTTAATAACTGTCATTCAATGAAGCCAATGTGTGTTCATGTCACTGAAATCACATGGGTGAAGCGGAGTGCTGCCCAATACAATAGGATCCTGGTCTGCTGTTGTTTCTATGCCTGGTTTCATTCCAAAGTACAAATGACGGGTACCACAAGGGGAAGACGTCCAGCTAAGGAAGGAAAAGAAAATCTGTACAGACTCTTACCAGCCTGCAGCGGAGAGCTCAGCAGAGGCAAAGGATCTGACTGGGGTCCGAGTGTATGTCCCACTAGAGCACTGGGCTGTTCCCATGAGGGCCTGGAGCAGTGCGGTTCACTCCAGGGCAAAGGTCTCTGGTATTCCTTAGGGCAGGCAAAAACCCTAAGGGGATTACAATGGATACAGACAGCCCTCGCTCCTGAAAGATGCTCAGTCCAAGTCAAGCTACACCAACTTACCGTATATATTCTACAGCAATGTCAAGGGCAGATAAAAATAAGTTATTGAGCAAAGCAGGTTGGCGATCTGTAAGACCTGCATTTGAGTCTAGGCTCCAGCACTTGCTAGCTGTGTGACCTTGGAGAAACTGCTTACCTTTTCTGATTAACATCTGTGAAAGTTAATTTCTATCTATTTCAAAGCCCTCTCATGAGGACAAAAGCAAAGAATACAGGAAGTATCAGGGCACAGTAGGCTGCAAGCTCACAACCAGAGTAGAGCATCATATACATCTAGTGCAAAGCACCTAAAGAAGCAAGCCAAGGGAACCGGAGATTCCTGCTGTCTTCTTCCCCGTTCTCCTAGTGGCTCCTGCATGCCTGGGAAGGCTGGGGACAAACAAGGACAAACTAGGAAACCCCTATGCCAGATGGTGCAAGACAGGTGCCACCCTGCCCTACTCTGACCTCAGGCCTCCCTGCAATGCCCCAAGCCTCTGTCCAAGGACAGACCTCAGAATGGAGAGCAGAGGACAGTGTTACACAGGGAGGACTGGAAGAATACACTGAAATTTGAAAGCAATTTTTATCCCTTTTTGACCCAGTTGTGATTAAAGGTGGCATCGTTGGCCTGGGCAGATACACTGCTTTGTGCAAGCTGAGCTTCGGCAGGCTCAGAGAGCTGGCAGAGACAACAATAGTAACAAAAACTGAGAATGGCCCTGTAGCCAGCCACCTCTGAAGTGAAAGGCTTGCTCCTCAGATTAGACAAGGATGGCGAGGAAACCCCGTTGCTATCACAGCGCAGGCTGAACAGACTAAAGTCAGCCAAATAGCTCCTGCATACCTGCTTCCTTGGTGAGCCCTGCTGGACGGGGAGTAGGGTGGGTGGTCCAGAGGAAGCCTGGGGTCATTTGGTTGTTTTGAGGCAGAGTCTCATTCTGTAGCCCCGCGTGCCTTGAACTCCTGACTCAGCCTCCAGATAGCTGGAATTACAATCATGAACCTCCGTGGCCAGCTGCCTGTGGGCCTGACGGGAGCCCAGCACATGTCGGCTTGGGAGAGTGCCAGGATCATGCATCCTTCCTCAGCGAGCACAGCTGCTGCAGTTGTTAAAGGGAGGCTAGAGCCACTAACATCCTCTTTAAAAGGGAAAACATCTCATTTCCCTTAGAAAGTTCTATTTGCAGT